CATGGGGAAAAGCATGTGCAGAACGCAGGGGTGTGACCGCAGGGCTTCGCTGGGATGATTTCTTCTCCAGCTCCAGGAAAAAAATGTAATTGCTTTGCAGGGAGGCACAGGACTTGCTTGTAAGGGTGGAAAAACCCTTGGCGAAGGGCCAGCAGGAGTTTTGATTTACAGCTCATTGCCGCGTTCCCACAACAATGCTGTTTCTACAGAATTTGTTTTTATTTATTTATTTTTTTTTTAAATCACATTAGAAAAGATGTTTTGTCCTTCCCATGGAATTCTGCAAATATTTCACTTCTGCATCTCACTGCCACATTTTGATAGAACCCCAGGTGGAATTAGACTGCATTCCCGAACCCTTCCAACTACATTTCCATCTCCTCATCTTTCAGCGACTCTCCCTGCACCATCTGTCTTAGTTTGGACACTTGCTTGTCTATTTACTATTACTGGTGAAGTATTGGTCTGCTATGAAGCTTTACTGCTCAGCACATGCATGGGGAAGGTATCCATTAACAAGAGGGCCTTTATTTCTGCTATAGGGTTATAAAGGCACTTCTATCACAGATGGTTCTTCTTGTAGGCATGAAAAGATGGCAGGGACTGCAATGGCTTGGCACGCTGACCCCAGCAAGTGCTGCTCATCCCCAGGTGAGCACTGAGCCAAGAAGTTCACTGTGTGCCCCAGGGTGCTGCCATTGGGAGCATGCTGAGTTGTTGGCAAATTCCTTGTAATCAGAAAGTAAGCAGCTGATAAAAAAGGTCCCAGATCAGAGCTATGGCTTAAAATAAAATGAAAAAGGAATTGACACAGACCAGAATTTTGCAGTGTCATAAGGCACAGCTTTTATTGTCTTTCATGAATAATTGGAGGTCAAAGCAAGGAAGGAGAGCATCCCATACACCAAGAGGAAAATTAACAGCAGGATTAGTGCTCACAAAGGATAAACCACACTGATCAGCGAGGAGAAACTTCAAAGCACATTCCAGGCATTTGGTGATGAAAGGTAAGCAAAGAAGAGGAGAGATCTGCAGTCTCTAAGCAAAGAAGGAGGAACATCCATGGCCGTGTCCGTATCCATGTCCATATCCAGCAGCGAGGAGCCAGGGGGGAGCAGCAGGAGCGCAGCAGCAGGGGAGCTGAGCGCAGCCTTGCTCTGCACCCAGGGCTTTAGTTGCCACAGCCGCAGCAGCCACTGTTGTTGTTGTTGCTGCTCAGGGTGTAGCAGCAGGTCATGGGCATGCAGCAGGGCGTGGAGCAGCAGTACTGAGAGGGATAGCAGCACGGTGTCTTGCAGCACCTCGGACTGCTGTAGCAGCAGACGGTGTAGTTGTTGTTGCTGCCACCGCAACACCCGCAGCCTCCGTTGGGCATGGTGATGGTTGTGTAGGCAGAGCTGGAAGGGAATAGAAAGAGTCAGGCTGTGACAGGGAGCAGATTTGGAAATGCAGAATTCACTCAGTGCTCTCTCACTCAGTGTCAGAGATTCAAGGAGCTGAAACCTACTCCTGTGGTATTTTTTTGGTAGTAAGTCTTGCCTATAACTTCTGCCTGTCTGCAGTGGAGATGCCCACCTCCTCATCCCTAACACTGTAGCAGCAGTCATACAGCACTGTTCAGGCAGTCCTGGGCCTGAAATTCTCCCATTGCTCTGAATGGCTCCAATGATGCTCTCATGGCCTCTTCATCCCGAGGTTCCCAGCATATCCCTTCCTAAAGCCTGGTGTTAGCCAAAGACCCAACCCAGCTACCCATCTCTATTCGGATATCCATAGAGTTTCTCTTCTGTGAATAGGAAGGAAGGTTAAAAGCTCTCACTTACCCTGCTGAACGGTGAGGAGAAGTGGAGAGAAGAGGAGAGGAGCGAATGAAGTGCCCTGGACCCTGAGACCTTTTATAGTCCCTTCGCACACCCTCCTCCTGGAAGTGAGACAGGCACTGACCATTCAGACTTCCCTGTTTACTAACCCAAACCCATACTTTTTAGCTATACGTGTCTTCTGATGTTTACTCTTTGCCTTATTATCTGTGATCACAACCTTTATTTTGCCTCATAACTATTTAGCCTGCAGATAATCAAAGGGCTCCCATGAATACTAATGAATTTGTCCTTGCTGCAGCTTTGCATGGGAGCCAAAAAATGCATCCTTGCATCCGTTTGACCAACGCGGAGTGTGACGGCCACAGATGCTCAGGGATTTACTCAGCAGTAGCTGATGCTGAGTCAGTGTGAGGACTGAAACCAAAGCCCCCAGGTTGTGTTTTTTGGGTGTGTGATGGGATGTTTCACCGGACCGGAGTCTGAAACAAAACATTTGGTGAATTTCATGAAACTACGTATGTTTGTTCCTGGTCATAGGACACGCATTTGAGGAAGGAGCATGCAGATCATGTGCTTGGGACATGTCAGGGTCACATCAGTTCCTGGGTCCTGGTCACGTACACATGACTCCACGTGATCATCATTCCCCCCTGATCTCAAGAGCGTCTTCGTGTTTTCCTTTGGTTTGCCTAAACTTCTGCACATCCTCCAGGCTGGGAGGTCCAGCTTTGCGTTGGGCATTACCAACACAAAAGAAGAGTGCTTTGGTTCCTGCTTTGCTCTGTCAGGTCTACTTCCCTGGGAATATTTTCTAAGACTCTGAACTGAATTGGCCTCCCTGCGGAATATTTTGCATTTTAATTAAAAAGTTGAGGGACTGCACTTGTGCAAATGGTGACGTGAGGAGCTCTGGGGAAGGGTGTGATGCATGATAACTTCAGGAAGTTCAGCAAGGCTGAGTTCATGGTCCTGCACTGGGGTCAGGGCAACACTAGTTGGTGAATGCAGTGCTGTGGGGAAGGAGTTGAGGTTCTGGTGGATGAAATGTTGGGAATGAACTGTCAACGTGCACACATCCCCAAAAAGGCAGCAGGGGATGCACCAAAAGCAGTGTCCCCCATGCAAGAGAGCACCTCTGCTATGGAGACAGTGGTGGGGTTACTGAACCTGAGGAAAAGAAAGCTCTGGAGAGATCTCACTGCAACCTTTCAGAGTATGAAAATAGGGAGGGAGGGATGTTTTGCCAGGGCCTGTAGAGACAGCATGGATTGAGAGAAGCTGAGGGCAGGAGAGTTAACCAGCACAGAAAACCGGTTCCAGGTGGGGTCATGGGGCTCAGCGGGAGGCAGGGACTGCAGCCATGCAGGAAGAGATGTCTCTGAGGTAGAACCATCTTCTGGGAGGAGAGAGGGAGCAGGAAGCTCCAGGTAAAGCCCTGGGCAACTGAGCCAGGTGGAATGAACGCTCGTTTAACGCTGGCCTCCCATGCCCTTTGCTGTGGGGTTGGATGCTGGCAGAAACACAGAGTACTCAGCAGGAAGTTTTCCTGTGACTGAGATTCGTGGCTCTCATTTGAAGGTTTTGCCCCATTACCCCAAGAGGAGAGGTGCCTAATGAGTGGATGGCGGAGCTCGCCTGGTGGGTTCCCTGTGTCTGCCCTGCATCCTATGATGCTGAGCTGCTGCCAACCCCGAGTGTGTTAGCAAGGACCCTGCTTTGCTTTCTGCATCATGCAAGGGGAACAGATGTGGTTGTAGCACTGCTTCACCCTGCTTCACCCCACAGTAAATCCTGTCAGCTCCTTCCCAGGCTTTGCTGGAATGAGAGTCATTTCTTGAGCAAAATGCTGGAGAAGGAACACATGTAATTGCAAGGTCTCCGGGAAGGAGAACATGCATGGCATTTCCTTTCTAGCAGATCCCTCCTGAGGAGGCATACATTGCCTGCCTGTGAGAACTGATTAATTTATAGGGAATTAATGGGGTGGAATCAAAAGGGCACACTTCACTTGCACCTTCAAGCAGGAAAAGTTCTCATTTGCAAATCCTGCAGCGGGAAGAGGTGAGGATCTAAGTGGACACCTCCCATCATGATAGTGATATGTGTATAACTGGGATACTTACGGACTTCAGTGGGTGGGCTACAGATCCTCGTGCAAAGGGACTGATGTGGGGGTGCAGTCAGCTAAAGGGAGTTAGACACAGACTGAGGACCACAGAGCAGAGCTCACATGCTGTGTTATGGTATAACCCCAGCTGACCCAACCGCTCCTTGAAGGTGATGGAGGCATCTCAGAACGTTTGGATGTTGTGTTGAGGGACATGGTTTAGCGAGAAGCATTGGTGATGGGTGAATGGTTGGACTGGATGATCCTGTGGGCCTTTTCCAACCTTAGTGATTGTATGATTCTATGATTCTTCCACCTCCTGAGCTCTGTATTTGGAAACCCGGACATTTTGGTACAAACAGGACATCCTTCTCATAAATGTTAAACTGTTTGTAAGGAATTCTCCATAGGTGCTTAAGGAAACCTACTGCTGGTTGAAACACACAAAGCTTTCCTATATGTGACATGCCTGTGTCAGTGTTCCAGAAGTCATTCACACCCATCACAAGTTTATATATTATTTTCTATTTCTCTGTAGTTTTACAGCAAAAGTAGGAAGGCTGCTTGCCTAGACACCCAGCTTATACCTGACTAAGCTCATGCACAAGCTCAGAGCTGCATCGGGGACACAGAGATGTTCATTCTGTTCTCAAAGCCCCCCAGTTCACACCATCTATCCAGCTGCAGCCCATTGCTGGAAGAAAAGGCAAAGAGAACGCGATAGATGTGGCGATGCACTTCAGATGCACCAGGTAGCAAACAGACAACCACCACAAGTTCTGCAGTGCTATGAACTACAGGCTTTAATAGGTATATATATATATTTTTTTTTTCCATGCAGATTGAAGCAAAACAGAGACGAAAAGCATTTAACATCCCATACACCAAGAGGCAAAGTTAACAGCAGGACTAGTGCTTGCGAAGGAAAATCACACTGATCAGTGGGTAGAAACTTCAAAGCACATTCCAGGCATTTGGTGATGAAAGGCGAGCAAAGAAGAGGAGAGATCTGCAGTCTCTAAGCAAAGAAGGTGCTTAGGGCCTTATCCGTATCCCTATCCAGCAGCAAGGAGCCAGGAGGGAAGCAGCAGGAGCGCAGCAGCAGGGGAGCTGAGCGCAGCCTTGCCCCGTGCCCAGGGCTTTAGTTGCCACAGCCACAGCAGCCACTGCTGCTGTTGTTGTTGCTCAGGGTGTAGCAGCAGGTCATGGGCATGCAGCAGGGCATGGGACAGCACTGCGATGGGCAGCAGCACTGTGATGGGCAGCAGCACTGCGAGGGGTAGCAGCACTGTGAGGGGCAGCAGCTCTGCGTCTTGCAGCATGGCGTCTTGCAGGACTTGCTGCTGCTGTAGCAGCAGACGGTGCAGTTATTGCCACCACCGCAGCACCCGTTGGGCATGGTGTTGGTAGGAGTGTAGGCAAAGCTGGAAAGAAACAGAAAGAGTCTCATTTTCTCTGCCTGAATTTCAGTTTATGCAGCTTAAGGCATGCTTATCCCCAAGTCCATCCCAAACTGGATGGCAAAGTCCTGAATCCCAAGACAGCCTGTCTCTGAGATCTCCATGTTTTGGTGTTGGCCACCAGCGCATTTGGCTTAGTGGCCATCAAAAGGAAGCCATCCAGGTGGACCCCAAAACCAATCTCTAGAACTGACCTCAAACAAGACAGTGTAGGAAATCATAGATAACTTCCTACAGAGCACACAGATACAATACAACACAGATGAGAAAGCAAGCTTCAAGCTCCAACTTACCCTGTTGACCAGTGAGAACAGGTGAGAGGAACTCAAGGTGAGTGAATGAAGAGTTGAGTGGTGGGCAGCCTTTTATATGTCTCCAAATGGTACCCCTGGAAATGAGGCATTATTCAGCAATTCACCTTTTATCCCCCAGTGTATGCCTCTCACATGTCTTCCGGTACTTAATCTTGACTTCTTTCTGCTTGCTCACCACCTCAAAGCTGCCCCATAATTAGTTGAACATATGAACAACAGGTGCAAATTTTCTAATCAATTTACATTAATGGGAACGGGACGTAGCTATACAGTGATCCCATCCGCTTCCTCAGGAATGACCTTGAGACAGTCAGCAATTTGCTCGGGGTGCTGAAGCAGGTGGGAGAACCATGCCTGGAAAAAGGAAATGTCATTCATTGTTCACATGCCCCCTCGGCTGCAATTTTGGGGAACCAGTGGACAAAATTGGTAAATGTGAATTGCTTTTTTCCTGCCTCTAAGAGGTGGTTGTGCATCCAAAGTTGGTGGAAGTCTTTCTCTTTTCCCATTGTGCATAGGATGTTACAGTGGTGCTTTGTCCTCACATCTACACATTTTATTTCTTAGATACATGGAGCTTTCCTCTGTGTTGTTTCTATATTTTCCATTTTCTGAGGTTGTTTCTAGGGTATGTGAGGCGGAGGTAGCTTGGGTCTCATGGCATTCATGCTGATTAATTTGTTTCATCAGTTAGTTGAGTATTTCAGACTAAGGATTTGATTCTGTGTCCTTCGCAAGTATGATGTTCAGGGAAACTAATCCTGATCACATTTGCCCATGTCAATACTCTGTACTTCCAATGGTCCCAACTTGCACAGTGCTCTGACTGTGTGATTCTATTGGAAACAATGAAGATGCCATGAAACAGGTTTGGGGATGAGAAAATGTACTGTGGCCACTGGACATCTCCATGTGACAAGAAGCTGCTGATAGGGTTTTCAGTTGAGAATGATATAGGATCAGGTGCTGAAGTAGCACCTATTTGTGGCAATTAAAAACTATGGTCACATTCAGCAGACTCAGAGCGCGTGGCTGGAGTGATGGCAGGTGACCCATGATGGCTGGGACACGTAATTTCTTCCTAAGATGTGAATAGAATCTCCAGTGACGTTGGTGTCTCTCCTGGAATTGTCCCCAGGCAAGCATTGGCCATGCAATAATAGGCAGATACCTGCTGCAGGAGGTAACGTCCTCTTTTGGGCTCCACCATGCCATCCACCAACTAAATTATTTATTGCTCTTTTATCGGGTTTGATTGTTGGTTGTATTGAGGGACACGGTTTAATGAGAACTATTGGTGATAGGCAGATGGTTGGACTGGATGATCTTGAGGGTCTTTTCCAACCTTGGTAATCCTATGATTCTATGATTCTATGAGTCTATGATTCTATATTGGCCAGGATGATTCCTTTGTAGGAATGCACATGAACCTCCAAGGCTGTTGTTATTCAGGGCTTTATACATGTGTTGAGGAGGTACTGGGACAAAATGGGCCAGAAATATCAGAGATCTTGGATCTTGCACACATTACAAGGGAAGCCATGTCTTTATAAAATTCCATGGTAGTTACATGAGTTTGGGAGTGGCAGCACCTTCATGAAAAGGGAAGAATCAACAATGGCTTTTCCAGCACGTGCTGAAATTGACATTCACAAGAATTCATGACAGATCACACTTCTGATTGGGTTTGCTATGGCATGGTATAGGACATCCTTCCACAAGTGCATTGAATATGATTTACATGTGATTTAAAAGCTCCCAAAGATCTGAATGATCTTTTCAAGAGAGTCTAAAGTGGTAGAGAAACTTATTCTGATGCAGACTTTGTGTATACTCTGAAGGTCTGATTGAGAGGAGCAATCAAGACAGTGCTCAAGGCACTTTCCTGAGACATGCAATTCAGAGCTGTGTCCTGAATGTTAATAGTTAAGGAAGTCTCTGCCAGGTGGAGAGGGTATTGTTGACTCATGTGTGTGCTATTTGAGGAATGGAGCTTTTAAGTTCTATCCTGCCTCCTGGGTTTCATTCCAATCCTTATAATCCAGGAACGCCGCACAAGAAAATCTTTGCTAATATAAAAAGGATCTACCAAATAAAGGTAATCTGTACATTTTATTTTCAGAGGTGTTAGAGGAAGGAGATGGTGACTGCTATTAAGTGAGTAGTGAATTCTTCTCAGTATCTATTGAAATCAGAATCATAGAATGATTTGGGTTGGAAGGAACCTTAAGATCACCCAGTTTTGACCACCTCCCAGTAGACAAAGTTGCTCAAAGCCCCTTCCAACCTGACCTTCAATGCTTGCAGAGAGGGGACGTCTACTCTATCATCAGGGATAGGTTCCTACACATTGTTAGAGGTGGGGTGTTTTCAGAACTTGGAATTGTGCATATTTCATTCAGTCCTGTCAGTTTTATTGCCCTTAACCACTGTGATTGATGGCCAAAATTGAGATGAGTATCTGAGGCAGAGGATCAGCAAGACAGCATCACTCTGCTCTGCCTCTTTAGACATGACCAATTCACGCCAATGAGAAACTAGGCTGAGCAGTTGTTTCCCAAATGTTCTGCTTTGCCATTGAAGCACATGTTGGCCCTCAGGAGGCTGATGATGACTTGGAACATGGCACCAGGACAAGGACATGTTCTAGGAAAAATGAGGTAAGAACAACCAAGCAACAAAATATTTTGTGTTTTGCTTAATGCTAAGTTTTATTGTCTACAAGTCAAGAGAGAAAATACAGAATGACCACACTAACAGAAAATGTTTCCCATGTCCCATACACCAAGAAGAGAATGAATATATAAGATCTTCATGCCTTGTGCAATGGGTGACATATCCAAGTGCATTGCAGATCTTTGATAATTAAAAGACAGGGTGAAAGAAGGAAGATGACAGCTTAATTTTGGAAACTAGAAGAGAATCGCTAGGCATGTACTCCGTCGTCGTGTGAAACAGAAGGAAGGTCAGGTCTCCATCCCCTCGTGCCTGTTCTTGCACACCAGAGATGGCTGTGGGCAGAGCTGTTTCTCCTATGCAGGGCAGGTTCAGTAGCACTTCTTGACAGTGGTGCAGCACTGCTTGACGGGCACGCAGCACTTCCTCAGCGGGGAGCAGTACTGCACGGGGCTGCAGCACACCACAACGGGCTTCTTCTTCACCACGTAGGAGCAGCAGGACAGGCGGCCGGAGCAGCAGCAGGGGCGGCAGCAGGTCTGCAGGCACTGCTGGCTACAGCAGCTGTAGCAGGGCTTCTGGCACGGATCACAGCAAACGGACTGCTGGCATGGGTCACAGCAGACAGTCTTCTGGCACGGGTCACAGCAGACAGTCTTCTGGCACGGGTCACAGCAAGTCTGGCACGGGTCACAGCATGGCTTCTGGCATGGGTCACAGCAAGTCTGGCACGGGTCACAGCAGACAGACTTCTGGCACGGGTCACAGCAAGTCTGGCACGGGTCACTGCATGGCTTCTGGCATGGGTCACAGCAGACAGTCTTCTGGCACGGGTCACAGCAAGTCTGGCATGGGTCACAGCATGGCTTCTGGCATGGGT